TAAAATATAATTCTATAAATTATACGAACTTAAATATGTTCAACAGTTGTTTTATTAAACACGTAATATTCAAAATTATTAGAATCACTCTTTTAGATTTCCAAGTAAGTTTTCAATTTTGATTACGTATTCATTTTCTTATATTTTTACAATAGTACTAGCTCCCATAGCCACGCGTTGATTGGTTGGTTCCGTATTTGTTTTAAGTACTACTATATATTTTAAGTTAAACCAAAGTTTCGGAGGTCATCAATGACATTTATCGTGACATGAGATTTTTTATGATTCGGTAATGTAATTTCTAAATGTTGTCACTTCTATTGGAGGTGGTCAGTTTCTTTCGTTCGTTTTTCTTATCAGTCAAAAAAGGCCTTCAGTCGAACGTAAAAAAAATTTGGACTATCCCAAAGTATTTTAAATTTAAATTGACTTTGTCACTATTGACTTACTGGATCGCGAACAATTACTTCATTATGTAATGAAGCAACTTATTAACTTAGAAGAAACCGAAACAAAGAAATGATTAGGTTATTGTATATTGACTGATTAATATGATAAACGTTCAGTTAATATTTGATCATGTTAGCTAAACGAGGCCAATCAAAGAAGACAAGCATTCGTATCGGTATTGAGCACGTATAAAAATGTAACTGTTATAAATATAAGTAAGACCTTTAACTGATAAATGACTCGGTTTCAAACTCTGTCAGTGAAGGTTTGTTGTTCATTAGTTAGAGAGCAATATGACTATCCGAATTTAGTTTTAGTGAATTGTATTGTTAAAACAATACGGCATATGAAATATCAGAATATAATGTAATTTATTTAAAGGTAAAAAACGAAGAAAAATTATTCGTGCTGTTATGAGTTTCAGAAGCTATTTGATAAAACCGATATAAGATGCAATCGATTATAAAATCCACAAAGGGTTATTGTAATTTTAAATATACTTGAAACAACTGTCTCACTTCGGACTCAAACCTTCAAAAGTAAATAAAGTTCACCAACATCTATACAAAATAAATTCGTTAAATAAACCATGACTTAAAATCTCTACAGTTTTTTTTTGTACGGAAGCATAATTTTATAATAATATTACGTCATGTCATATTATGGTGACAGTATGAATAGAATGGAATATTTATTTGACATGGCACATCAAATAGGAAAAACATACAAAATTATGAATATTTATAAAAATGAAAACATAAATGGGTCACAACCATAAATATCTATGAACACTCGTCACAACTGATAACATTTTAATACTAGATAGATGATAATGCATTTTTAGATGATAATGCAGTAGAAAGTATAAGATTGCATTAGAAGTATAAGCGTTTTCGAAACCTTCAGAAAAGCGAAGCAAATATAAAACAATTACTTACTTCCTTCACAATCAATAAATATGGTTAAAAGGGATTAAAATGTCTAAAATAAAAGATTGGATATCTATATTTTGGATTAAAATGTTGTTTAAATTTATGCATCGTAGGCATTCGTAGACTTTACAAAATATTTGCTCAAAATAAAAGTATTTGCAATTTCAGCAATTTTTATATTAACAATTCTTTGTTTTCTCTCTAATGGATTCCCTCCGATTTGTTCTTTTTGCTTTAAGCTTTGTCTACATGTAATGACTAGACTCTCGGGCTATGCTCTCAAACGAGCATTCGACCTAGTAAATGGACGAAACAGTCGATCTTATAGAAAAGTATACAATTACAATATTGTTTCAAAGACTTCAGCGCCATGTTGATTCTCTGTCAATCAGTTATCTAAACGAATATTATATCCTTTTAGCAGGGTAGAGGGAAGAATATTCCATCCATAAAGCTGAGCAATTTTCCCAATGGAACATACTCGAAGTGAAATACAAAAATATTTTTTGTCTTTCCCTTGTAGGTAAATCAATCATCTGAACGTTCTAATATTATGACAGTTTTATCCCTATCTTTAGCTCTATATTATGGCGCTTACTATTTGCAGGCCACCCGTTTAATGTTATTGAATATCTGTGGAATTCATTTTTGACATTTAGATTCTTTGCAGGTACCGTAAATTATTATTTTTAAAAATGCGAAGTAACTCTGTATGTGTGTCTATTTTCACGTCAAAGCTACTGAACAAATTATTAGAATATTGTATTATGACCTTGGAAAAGGACATAGGATAGCTTTTGTCGCTTAAAAGAGATTTCGAGGATTTCCAAGCAGGAGAACCCGCGTGCGGAAAGCTAGTATTCGTGTGTGTAGCAAATGAGAAATTATATTTATTGACAATTAGAGATTTTGAAGTATTATTTTTATTGTTATACAAAGACAATTTTAATTTTATTATTGAGACTTTTTCGAGGGTAAAACTATCTTTAAGATTGAGGCGATATATATTGCGTGGTACTTATGGCGCTTATTTATAGTGTTGGTGAGTACAAATAATATGGGCACTTGTCAACACAATCACGGTAAGCGAATATACAACACGTCAAAGGTTTTGAGTATGGCGTCTGTATCTTATCGGAGATACGTCAGCTATCGTGCCGTCGTCACGTTGAAGCCATTGTCAACCTTGCATAGGGGGGACACAAACTCGCGACTTGTCTGGTTAAATATAAGTGTAAATTATGAATATTATAAAGAAAGTATGCAATGATAAATAAAAATTACTAAGTTTAAAAAAAATATCTAAAATGATACGAGTTTAAGCTGTTTATCTTGGAATCTTAGCATTGTATGTATGTGGTATTGTTTAATATTTATTTATTAATATGTTTTATTGCAGATATAGAAAGTCTAAATCATGAATCAGTCAATTTATGAAACCGTTATTGGATTGTTTCAACACCTTTGATTCTGTGTAGATTGAGGTTTATATTTTAATTGCTCAAGGTATAAAGGTTTGATTTTTGACTATTAGCTATAAATCGACGTCATAACATAATTGCGCATGGGCACTTCTTTCAATTTTACACTCTATAATGTATTACAGAGCTTCACGGGGCAATGCTCGCTCGATCTGCGATATTGTTGATAAATTACTTTCGTGATAGCTGGCCATAGGATGGGTGACCAAAAATTTATTCCTTCATGCTTCGGAAGGCACATTAAGCCATTGGTCCCGGTTGTATCTGTAGTCGTTAATATCCACCAATCCATACTGGAGCCGTATGAATCATAGCCTATTCTCCCTAATCGCTTTGATTCAATTCCATCCATATTCGACGTCGAGTTCAACGCTGATGAAATTATAGAATGTTTTTGATATAACTACTTATGATACGAAACCAGAACAAAGACAGTAAATTTTGGTTTATGACTAAAATGACCTTACACTAGTATCAAACCTATATCTATCTATCTAGTATAGTTATAAGAAACAATAGTCAGTCATCCAGGACTAACTTTTTATGTGTCTTTTATAGGCTCATTGTTTTATGTTATGCTATATAATGAAACGTCGTGGATTATTTCGCCTGCTATCCTGCTCTAACTTTTATATTTTTAATATAAGGACAGAGTTTCGTGAGGTAAACAATATATCGAAAATCGGTTTTAAGAGTTAGTAAGCCTGCCTAAATAAGTATTTGCAGAACCAAATTGATCACAGTGCCAAAATATCACATTAGATTTTCCATCATAAGAATAATAGGAGCATGTGTTGTTCAGGAAATTTCCGTGTCCAAAAGTTCTGGTGTAATGATTGATGAATATTATTCGACTCAGTCACGGTAACTTTAACTAGTGTTTTTAGTTGCCGTACTCGTATCTGGAACGGGTATTTTCATAAATGCACGCATGGTTATCATTAACATACGAATAAATACCAGACTTATACGTTGTTTACACCAACGTGGGTTTTATTTCACAGCAACAGACCAATGGAAACGTATTTTATTTCCAGCGCACATTTGTTACGTTGTACGACTACGTTTATGTCCAGTTTTTAGAGATCTGTACCTCATAAGGAAAGAAAATCCTTATAGGTTCAATCGGCTGCCCATTTATCTGTCTGTCCGTAAATTTTTCTACCATAATCAATTTGAAATAACCATACCAATCGAGTTGAACTTTGACGTATATATAGATATGTGTATGTGATCGAAAATAAAGTGTAATGCAAATAAATGAATCTTAAATTAAGGCTACTTAAGGAGGGGTGGGAAGAGACAATAATAAATAATTTTTAAGTGTAATTAATATTTAATGTATTATTTTTAAGAAATTCCTTTGTAAAAATATATTTTCTGATTTTTTCGTTAAATTGTATGTTTGTCGCATCGTACTATTTACAAAAGCCTTGTATGAAATCCCTAAAAGTATGAACAGTGTACTTGTAATGTCTTAGTAAAATGCTTCGTGCGGGGTGTCCGGGTGGTATTGAATAGTGTCGATGTGCCGGCCTCGCGACAACTTCTACTATCTGTTTCGTTTCCCGAGCCGAGACAATTTAACTTGACAACGTGGACTCCGCAACAAAAGCCGCTTGCTCTATTTAGCTCAGCCCATGTCAATAGGAAAACTATATTTAATGCTTTTTCAACGTAAAACTTACCATGAAGTTTATATTTGGGCGTACTTTCACTTACGAAAGAATTTTCAGTAAATCAACTGCGTAAGATTCCACCTATCGTCCAATAAATATAAATATGCTTATTTTTGTTTTCAAAATGCAATTTATATTTAAGGAACAAATACAGGTCGTTTCCTTTACATAAACAGGTAATGTAGGTTCTATCAGGAAATCGAGTGTCAAAGTAAACGTTTACTTGTAGTCGGGCGGTGAAAGGGGTAGTTCAAATTCGTTTAATCGTGTAAATAACGAATCGGAGACATCCACTCGTGTCAGATTTAAGGTCAACGTTACCTTGTGATGTGGAGAATATTTTGTAAGCGTTCTTTGTGAAATCGGGAACGAGTGTAAACACGGGTACGCGGCGCGGCAGCCCACGGCAGGGAGGGCACGTCACTCGGGCGGCCGCCGCCGCGCGCTCCGCCCGCACAATGTCGGTGCGCGTAGACCATCGGGATCGTGACCGATTTTCGAGACACTCTTCGCGCGCTTCCGTAGATCTCGCTTTTCCAAGTAGTTCCACCCGCGAGCATTCCATTCGCTCGGTGCATTCAGCGCGAGTTCCAAGAGCTGCTAGCGATGATTTGATGGTGCCCGTGCGCACGCTGCGTTCAGCTTCATGTCGTGTTACACCTGGTGCCCCTCACCGTTTACGCCGTCACCATTCTTCGGCAGCCGAATGCGAACGCGCACGGCGATCTCGTCGCCATACTCTCGAGTTACCAAACAGCCGCGGTCCTAGCGTCCGGAGCCGCTCCCCGGAGCCTCCACCACCTCCGCCAGAGCCCGAAGTTCCCCCCGAAGATGCTGGCAAAGAAGCGAGGAGGCGGCGCGTAGTGGCTGCTGTAGCCGCCTCGTTCTTCGCATTAGCGCTGGCATCGGTGCTCGTCGTGGTGGTGACGCTGACTCACAGCTCTGTTCTGCGAGCTCACAACCAAACGGCCAAGTACTACACGTTCTCCGTGCCGCCGCACCATCCTCTCAGTGAGCCCCGTTCATGTTGCCCCACCGTCGCCCCTCCCGCTTCGCATGCGACTGTCTCCGACCCTGAGTGCCAGGGGCTGCGAACGTCGCCGCGTCGCCTCGTCTGCTCACCGCCACCATATGCGGTATATAATAATATTGTGAAGTACACACATTAATAAACAAGCTGGAGCCTATCTGCAAATGCTCAGCGATTCTGTTCACCATAACTTTGTCACTTTGGAATGAAGGAGAAGATTCAAGGAATGCACTCGGGTTATATGAACAACGAATCGCTATGCCTTTGTCAAATTAGGCGTCAGTACATACAAACCACACATTTCTAAGCACGTTCGCAACCCCCTCTTCTGCATGATTAGATAATGTACTATAGATGTTACGTGTTTGTGACGGCAATAGTAAATAATATTTTTGGTAAGTATACTATTTACTTCCATACTAGTAAGTATAAAAAATATGAGATCAGGTGTTCATATTGTTGAAGATGTAAGGTTTAAATTTTATGTATCATTAGAATACGTTTACTTTTTGAATTTCAGGTGCTTTTATATGCATATAATATTAAAAGGCTTGCGTTTTATAAATAGGCGCGTAAAGTAATAAACACACTTATTAAAATTGGAATCAGGTATAGATATATTATACGGACCACTTTGATAATTTAATATTGTACCTAAACAAACTGCGCACGTCCTTGCCAAAGTGCAAGATAACAAAACCGTATAAAATTATCACCTTCACGTTTTAATGGGGAAGGTAACTGTTTAATGTGTCTTACAATTAGTAGTTTATTAAACTTGTCTATTTCACATTAAAACGGCTAAATATAGTTCAGATTGAATAGAATTCCAAAGTTACTTGAAAACAAATAACCCAATTCTCCATATCCCAAACGGTAGTCCTGTATTAACTTTTCCAGTTATTACCTTGTTTATATCCCATACTCCGATGACGATGTCATTTTTATCTTTAGATGACATTCGTACGAAGGGCGGCAAGGAAAAGGAAGCTTGCGAATATTTTACTGTCTCTAGGTCACTTGTCCTTTTATGTTTATGTATCACAGAAGATGAGAAAGTGTATTTTTTATCTAAAAATAAATCACCGAATATATTGCTAAGCACAAAAGTCGAGAATGACTTAATTATTTTTTTGTTTCCTTCGTAAAATTTGTTGAAATCCGTGGAAAGTTCTTATGGACAGTAAAAAAAAATAATCAAAAAAGTTTTTTCAAAACAAGTTTTTATTTGTGCGCACTAAAACGTAAATAACAATTTTATGCAAGACAGTTCATAACGTTATTGTTAAAGTACGAAAAAATAGGTGCATTTCATTGTCTCCGATTTAATTAGCGCTACAAGTTTTTCAAGTCAATTACTGTTAGAGAAAATTTTGAATATAAGTACTTTAACATGAACGTTATGAACATGTCTTGTATAAAATTATTGTTGGCGTTTTAGTGCGCACAAATGAAAACTTATTTTGAAAAAACTTTCTTATTCTATCATTAGTTTTGTCTCATTCTATTTATTTCTGATATCTGTATTGCAAGATGTTTTCCTGTTAATTTTATATATGATGTTGTTCTCATAAAGATTGATCTAAAGAGCCCAAACACGATGCAGATGCGTTATTTCATTACTAAGTTCCTATGAGCACCTTCTAGTTCCATCACCACCAGACCTTGGTCTGGAAAGCATCCTTTGCCAAAGTCCTCTTAAAAATGGATATAATTAGCCCAAACACGATGCAGTTGCGTCATTTCATCACTAAGTTCCTATGATTCATCATCACATCAGCTGACTGACACTATAATATTGCATTGTCATCTGACTTATATGTTTTTGCAAAATTTCCATTATCATTAACTATCCATTAACTATTGGACATTGGGAAGTGGGTCAAATTTGAGTTCCAATATTTGCGCACTAACTAACTACCATACTAACAAGGCAAGTTAAATAAAAGCTTGTTTAAATAGCAAACTGAGAGAAAAATATTAAAAACAATAATTTTCCTTTCAAATACATACCGGAAGGCACGAGATTCGTAATATCGCAATTTGAAAGATAAGAGGCATTTGTCATTTTCTCCTTTGCGAATCAAGAATGTAAGAAAATTGCTTCAACGTAGAAAATGAGTTCCCAAAGGATTATCTTTATCAAAGGCTAGCTGTTTTCTTGCGACTTTGCCTGCGTAAACAGTAGCTTCCCTTTTTTTTAATCGGTCAAGTATTTTCAGGGCCTAATTCAATGTCAATAATTATTTTTTCTCTCTTTATTATACGAGTATAGATGAACTATATCCATCACCGTTGCGGTCTCTATTCTCGATGTAGCTTCAGGGTAAAAAAATTACGTAGTCTATTTTAGGCTAATATAAACCAAAGGCGAAGGTGGTGAGAGACGTTTTTTTTTTACTTCTCGCAAATGTATGGTACATGTGATATTACAATTCTGCCGATTCGATTTGTAGTGGCGTGGCGTGTTCTTATATTTTAATATATTATTAAGAATTCTAATATTCTCTCTCTTTTTTCGTTTATTTTTCATTTATTTTTCCGTCAGCGTTTTGATCCATTTAGTAGTTTTTCTGTCAAACAGTAACATCTATCTTCTTCATCTATCTTCAAACAACAAACAAACTTTCGTATTCGTAATATTGGTAGGATATGTAGGGTATTTCGCATTTGTAATATTGGATGGATATTACTGCTGAAAGAATTTTTCAAATCGTTTTCCTAGGTTTTGAATTTTTTCATTATAGACACAAATACCTTTTTGTATTGTATCAAAACTCTTTATGTTATAGATTAATATTGTCACATTAAAAATCTTTGGTAGATATTGAAAATACAAATGTTCATGTTAGATAGTTTCGTTGATGATGAAATTTATAATATCTTTATATATTTGTAATAATAATGATAATAATATTTTATTGTTACACCATTTTTGAACGGTACATGGAATTTCCAAATTAAACATAACACGGTAGCAATTGGCGGTCTAATCGCTAAAAGCGATTTCTACCAGACAACCGCTGGATGGAAAAGAATGAATAGCAGTTATCAAAAATGGAGGTGTAGACTAAGATATAAAATATTTATAATAAGGATATTTATTTTAAAATGACAAATAAAAAAAGTAAAAATGTAGTCCAACGTTATTTACAAACATAGGTACAATTCCATTGGAAATCAGTAAATGTTAACTTAAGGAGTACACCCTTTTTTGTACAATAAATAAAAACAAAAAGATATTCCTGTGATGATATTCATATGATATCATCAAGTCTAACCTTATTTCGGTCCGAATTCTGCGTCATGAATTGTAAGATTATTGCGTTAAATACAAATCAATCAAAAAATTATTTCGAAAATCAACTCTGAATTTTTGAATATTATATTAGCTAACTAATCAATTTGCTGAATGAAATTTCGGTATGGTTCATTTTGTCAGACAAGAGTCACTATTACCTAATCTTTGGTAATACGCGATTAAGTTCATCTCCTATCGGTCCGAAATCAGGAGACTAAGGAGAGGCAAATGGCAAACAATCCCTCATCAATATACAATCCCCAACGATGTTTGCAGTAATCTCAATAAGAGCCGGTGCTGCTTTACTTTCCGTTTTGAGGTGGGATTAATCGTATATTAGATTTCGATGGAAAATTTCTGTAAATTTTAATGAAGTCGATGTGAAAATAGGGTTAACAGTGTTACAGTATTATGTAACACAAGTAAGACTGTTTTCCCGTGACTTCTTCCGTGTAAATTACAGCGTATGTCACCCGCGTATGCTGTAGCTTCCCGTAGGTGAAAGATCTTTTATATAGGTCTAATGGTTTCAGATCCTATTCAATGTAAACGGATAAACTACCAAATTTTTCCTCTAATATACCCAGAATTGACAAGCCCTCTTTGCTTTGTACGTATCTGCAAACGTAAATAATTTGTATATAGTAATTTCTTAACCATCATGATTTATATTGTTATGATTCGACATGCTTAATAAACATCATTCTTCAGATTTACTCAAAATCTGCTGAAAATTATGCCTAAACTATAGCCCATAAATTACTTCCTTCATTGGCGAAAACCGTTTACAAATCCTTTCGGTAGTTTTTGAGTTTATCATATTCAGACGGACGCGCTCGAGGGACTTTACTATTTATCAAAAACCAAAGTTGTGTGAGATACTTGTTATTTTGATTGAGATAGTCTACAATTACAAACTGGTATATGAGTTATTTATATCAATAAGATAGGCATATTTGAGACTTCTTTCAGGTTACTAGGTTAGTGAAAAATTGACGCCCAGTTACAATTGACTTCTTTATTCACTTATAAGGGTATATTATATTACATGGATCAAAGACACTATAATAATTTTGTACATAGATTATACTTTTTAAAAATTTTATGTAAATTTGCTCTTTTCTAGATTTTGCTTCGATCAGTTGTATTGTTGATCGATGAGATTTTATATTAATTTTGAAGTTCTTTCTATATTAAATTTGTGTGAATAAAGTTGTCTTGCAATCGATCCTCGTAATACCCCTGCTTTCCTCAGGTTTCCCTATTTCTATTGAGCTATCGATAATACAGTCCACCACAGAAAGTATCATAGATTATCATAGTATTATAGTCTACAAAACTGCAGCTTCGGACAGTGAAAATTATAACAATTTATACCAAGTGTGTTCTTAAAATTTAATTATACTGAAAATATGCTAAATAGATTTATTAAAATCGTTTCAAATTATGAATTCGAGCCTCTTTATGTCCAATATAACGGGACGTTGTGACTTGACGGACAATGTTTTTTAAGTATTTTGCATATTTAAGTGGAAAAGCATCTTGTTTACAGTGTATAACAACAGAATCTTAACAAAGGACTACTATAATTATGTTAAGCCGGAAGGTCCACAAATTCCGGGCGCTCCTTTAAATTTGAACTATTATTTATGATTAATAAGGAACGTTGTTGTTGCACTTGTCTTACAAAGGCAGTTGACAATTTACAGTTCCCAACATTAAAGCTTTTGTTAGACTGTACAAAGTCAAGGACTTATTTACAGTAGCACTTCATTATGTATAAAATTAAAGCTTGAATAATTATTCATGTTATTATTATACGATTACTTTTGGCCAGT